AGCAGCTAACTGTTACTCTCCGATTTTTACATAAAAATGGAATTATGGATTATAAAAAAAAAAATGATAACCCAGAAACATTATCAACCTATGGATTAACCTATTCATTCGCGTTTTTTCTCGTTTGAATGCCATTAAACCAGTCTTTTGATCAGATTGACAGCTACGGAGAGACGATCTCCCGTAAGCTCTGTGAATTTGTGTTGTGATGTCTGTGTTTGCTTCCCCTGTCAAGAGTTCGGATCACTCAGTGATTATACTATACCTAAATAATCTGTGGAACCTCAGCTTTAATCGGATATCTTGTATGTGCAGCTACGATAAGTAATAAGGGTATCTTTTATCTTGAGTTCTGTGCCAAAGTGCGTCAGCATTTTTCGCTCAGGGGTCATTTAGATGCTTCTTATGAGACTTGTGTTTTGTTTTGGTAAAAATGGTTTGTATCGTCAGTTAGCTGAGATTATTCCCGTTAATCTGGTATAACACATTAATAGGTTCTTAAATATTAAGATCCCCTGAGACACAGTGTCGTGAAAAAAAAGTACCCGCCGGCAGGGACCTTGGGGCTTAACAGGTTAAATGATACAATTGCATGTCTTGGGTATCCTTTTGTTGAACTGTCTGTTTAAAATTAATCGAAGCATCAGACAAAAAAAGGTTTTGAAAATAATATTATATTTTGATTTAGGTCAAAATATAATAATTGTAAACCTGAAGAGTCAGTGCCAGTGCCAGCCATGAACCTCACTGCACGTCACTGCAGAAGCTTAATACATAGACATCGTTTTTTCTGCCCCACCACTTTTGTGCATATAAAAACGCCACTGCAAACATGACTTAAGTAAGAATTCATTTTAAGGAAAATATACATCGAGTCAATAGTGTACACATTTCATTGAGCAAAACAGATTATTTATTTTCGTATTCCCCTCGTATGCTGCTATGCGTATAATAACGTTGGGCCTGCTAATCGAAAAACCTGGGAAGAAGCTCAAGAAGACAGCAATGGAAATAATTCAGATCTGGCTGTTGCACATACTCCTGCTGAAAAGGTAAATATATTAATATGGCGCAATTATGAAAGTAATTGTGTTTTGTGTAGGTTTGAACACACTTTGGGTCTTTAGGCCATTATGTGTTTATTTGAATATATTGTTTAAATACCTGATAACTCTCTCTGTTTTCCAGGAAGCAATCGATATGTACAGCTTTGGATATAATGGATACTGGATTGGTCTGAGAGTTGTAAATAAGAAATGGAAGTGGGTGGATGGAAGTGATCTGACTGATAGGTAAGAGACACATTACTAAACACTTTGAATACTAACATCTATCAGCCTTTCTCTAAACATGTTCTCCTGGATAGCAGCTCCTGTTGACGGTCGCTGTGCAGTGTTTTACAAGGACATAAACACATGGTCATCCGTGAGCTGTAATTTAATACTACAATGAAATGAATTACTTGTTTATAAAAACAAATTCCAAACAAAAAAATAAAACAAAAAAAGGATAAAAAAAACAGTAATTCCAGAAACGTTTCACAAACTCAATAAAAACAATAAAACACAAAAGTGAACTCATAATGTGGATTCTTTTAAAATCGATGTACTTTTAGTTTGACTTAATATCTGTGGAGCTTGCTAAATTAATGCAAATATGTATTTCCTTGATGGTGTTTTTATTAGATATGGATGGTTAAAATAGTTATACTGTTTAGTGTGAATAATGTTATTCTATTGTATTAGAGATGCAATGCTTAAACTCCCGGGCCTACCTGAATGCGCGTGCATCTCACCTCCGTATAAAAGGAGGCCTCGCCTCCTGACCATCATCCTACACCTCTCTTCAGTGAGCGGTATAGGACAGACAATGCCCCTGAGTAGAGGGCTCCGTCTGTGCTTATATAACAAGGGTTACAATACGTAACCCACCGTTATATCTCTCACAGGCTCCGCCCTCTACTGGACTCTATGGGTACAGTGGGCGGAACCCCGATGTATACACGCACTGTCATCCAGCACACCGTTCAACCTCACTGTCCCTGACCGGCTTTAGCAGCCGCTGCGCCTCACTCACCTATCCCTCGGTTGTAACCGTGGAGAAGTCCGGGCTGCAGCTGACAGAGCACACCCTGACACGCTTGCCTCACAAAAAGTGTGCTCGAAAACAGTGCTGAGGGCTCCCACCGTCCGCCTATAGGCAGACAGAGAAAGTCTGCAGCCCTGTATGGGTTCACTATGCACCATCTCTCCCGAGTCCCTAAGGAGCACGGGGAGAGCGCAAGTCCCCCCCATGTCCCCCACACTCAGACACTGACCCCGTGCAGAGTGTGTACAGACTAAAGCCCCCAGGCAGGCGAGGGGAGCCCTCCAGCCCTGTAAGGGCCCAGTGCGCACTACGTCACCCCGCGACCCTCCAGGGCGCCCGGATAAAACGTATGCACATTTACGCCCGGGGTTAGGGGGTCAGATGCCCACTGACCCACAGCCCCCCCCCTCCCTCCTCACCAGTCCTGTGTTGCCCCAGCAAGCACAGACACGGAGAAAGAGCCAGACATATCCAAGAGATAAAACTTTATGAAGGGGCCTGGCGTTGACCAAGACGCCGCCGTACATACAGTGGGGCAAAAAAGTATTTAGTCAGCCACCAATTGTGCAAGTTCTCCCACTTAAAAAGATGAGAGAGGCCTGTAATTTTCATCCTAGGTATACCTCAACTATGAGAGACAGAATGGGGGGAAAGAATCCAGGAAATCACATTGTCTGATTTTTAAAGAATTTATTTGGTCAATAACAAAAGTTAATCTCAATACTTTGTTATATACCCTTTGTTGGCAATGACAGAGGTCAAACGTTTTCTGTAAGTCTTCACAAGGTTTTCACACACTGTTGCTGGTATTTTGGCCCATTCCTCCATGCAGATCTCCTCTAGAGCAGTGATGTTTTGGGGCTGTCGCTGGGCAACACGGATGTTCAACTCCCTCCAAAGATTTTCTATGGGGTTGAGATCTGGAGACTGGCTTGGCCACTCCAGGACCTTGAAATGCTTCTTACGAAGCCACTCCTTCGTTGCCCGGGCGGTGTGTTTGGGATCATTGTCATGCTGAAAGACCCAGCCACGTTTCATCTTCAATGCCCTTGCTGATGGAAGGAGGTTGTCACTGAACATCTCACGATACATGGCCCCATTCATTCTTTCCTGTACACGGATCAGTCGTCCTGGTCCCTTTGCAGAAAAACAGCCCCAAAGCATGATGTTTCCACCCCCATGTTTCACAGTAGGTGTTCTTTGGATGCAACTCAGCATTATTTCTCCTCCAAACACATCTAGTTGAGTTTTTACCAAAAAGTTCTATTTTGGTTTCATCTGACCATATGACATTCTCCCAATCCTCTTGTGGATCATCTAAATGCTCTCTAGCAAACTTCAGACGGGCCTGGACATGAAATCTCCCCGTTCCCCTAGCTCAGGAGAGTTGTCCTCCGGATGATATGGCTGGAGTATTCTCGCGGGTACAGACGGTCAGGAGTGACCCGATCTGGCCACGCTTCCCGGCCATCAGGAGGTACCAGGAGGTACAGCAACACATCTTTGATTCATGTTGTTTATAACTGGAATATTACAATTATTATTAACTTTGTCTGCACAAAGATGCTCCGCTTCTGAAACGGGCCCGGTGGGTTATGACGCTGGAGGAGGTCGGACCAAAACCGTGACGCGCCGCAGACGGCGACCCGGTGGAATCCCGGGGAGAGCGTCCCCAGGGGCAGCAGCCCTCGCAACGCCCGCAGCATCTGCAACGACCGCACCATCTGCAACGCCCGCAGCATCTGCAGCGCCCGCAGCATCTGCAGCGCCCGCACCATCTGCAGCGCCCGCACCATCTGCAGCGCCTGCACCATCTGCAACGCCCGCAGCATCTGCAGCGCCCGCAGCATCTGCAGCGCCTGCACCATCTGCAACGCCCGCACCATCTGCAACGCCCGCACCATCTGCAGCGCCCGCACCATCTGCAGCGCCTGCAGCATCTGCAGCGCCTGCACCATCTGCAACGCCCGCAGCATCTGCAGCGTGACCAGCCACGGCCGCCTATTTTTAGCAGAGCCCAGCGCCGAGACGCTTCTGGGACGCTTCTAGCCGTAACGCGTCTGGTGGAATAGCACCCATTGACTAGAGTAGCCGCGTTCGCTGTGAAAGCAGCGGCACAGCCGTAATGCGGCCGTGCCGTAACACGCCGTGCCGTAACGCGCCGCAGACGGACCCGGTGGAATCTAGGGGTCACCCTTCGGCGGCCGCGGGGGCTCCGTCCTGGTCTCCGCGAGAGGAAGCAGAGCCGGAGATTCTGACGTTTTGGGGGGGAATTGTGTGACGAAAGAAATACAAATATTTGGAATTCCAACTGTGTGTATGTGTCATCAGTTAGAACTGTTTCTCACATATCCCCCGCACTGTGTAGCCGGCTGCCTCTAACCTGTCGGTTAGTAGCCAGCAGGGCTCGCTGCAGAAGCCAGCTGTTTTTAACCTATGGGTTAATAAACAGCAGAGCTCGCTATTTAAGCCGGCTGCCTCTAAGCTATGGATGCCGTTTAAGCCAAAATTAAATAAATAAATACATAAATAATTAAATAAATAAATACACATATACATATATATATATATATATATATATATGCCTATGAAATAAATAAATAAGGTTATGAAATTCATTCTGAAATAAATAAATAAGGCAATAAATATATATATATATAAATGTACCTTTTTAAATACACATTTATTTATTTCAAGAAACTTTTATTTCATAATGCCACATTTATTTCTAAGGTCCATGTTCAGTCACGTCAAGCGATGCAAATTAACTTCTCGACCAAAAGCAGAAGTGCTTAATTTGAAGGCTGAGGGATAGACTTCAAAAGAAGAGAGGAAACAACCAGTTCTCCTATTGCGATGTCCAGAGGTTTAATTAGAGCAACACTTCTCCATCTACGAGTCAGAGAGGGCTCAACAGAGCGGCTGGAGTGATGGCGGAGGGAGAGGAGGAGGTGAACTACGCTTCGGTTGTGTTCAAAGCCGGCAACAATCCTCCACCTGCGGGTACGTTTAGTTATTTAACAACTTTCACTTCCTGCTGATGATTTTGAATCAGAGCCTCTTTGTTAATGTGATCAATGCAATGTTGAATATCAATCCAAAGTAAGTTGCTGTTTTTAATGACCTGTAATTTAACTGTGAAACCAGAAACATGAAAAATCTGCAAATAATGTACCTGTTTTTGTATTTGTTTAGTGTGGGTGAAGAATAGATGTTTAACTAACCCAGCACATTTGCATTGATGTTTTTCAAAATCACAATGTTGACTATAAACCTTTCACTACAAATGAACCAAGAAAACTTATCATCGTGCAGCTAGGTTTTAATAATATGAGTTTTCTGGGTTCATCAATGCACATTTTGGTAGAAATAAGCCTTCTTTGTTCATGTATACTACATTGAGAAAACACTTTTAAATATAGAGTAGTTTGAAACCTTTGAACACCTCATCCTATTTCAGTTTAACTTCAATTCATATTTCTTCTCTTAAAAAGATTCAAACTGATGGTCATTTGTTGGGTATTTTAATTTAGCGACTCACACTGGAGATATATCATCACGAACACATCTATTTAAAACCAGTGAGGAAATTGCGAAGTGAGCTAGTTATGTGTTGAGAGTTTCCCGTATCATGTCGCTTCCCTTTTTAAACGGCATGACACAATACCTGAAGACAATCTCATCATTTTGAATTTGCCCATTTTAATGCACTTTGAGGAAAAAACTGTGAATTTTGCATCATCGTACTGTAAGGCAATTCTTCTGCTATATCAAACAATGAAAACAGCCTTTTAAAGTCCTTCTCATGTATTCTCTAAAAACCTGCATGAGCATTTCCTTTGTCCTTCCAGCAAAAAGAGGGGAGGAAACTGTGTACGGTGAGGTGAAGGCGCAGAACGAAACAAAGAACGAGGGTAAGTTGTATTAAAAAAAAGCATTCAGGTGTTACTGCAACTGGGAGTACTACTGCTACCACTGCTACCACTACTTTACCATTATAACTATCATTAAAAGGGAACAAGTTCACAAGAACTGTTCTAAAGTTTATATCTGTAGTGCTTTGTCAGTAACCCTAGCACTCTAACAAAGCCGTAACATATTGGGAGTGTGCAGTGTGACAAATGTCAACGTCTTGCAGACGGGGCATCCTGGTCTTATGAAAAAATGATGGTGGAAAGCTGCACTGTCTTTTCTCCCGTTTGTTTTTGACATATCAAAAATAGTTTATGATCGTAGTATGCACAAGTCTTTATGTCAATTCAGTGACTTGAAGTTACAAAAGAGTACTTGCTAAACCATGACCTTTTACCAGTGTATTCTGGTCCTTTAGTAAAACTACTGATATCATGCTGTTAAAATTATCCTTTACAAGTAGAAGTACAGCATTAAAAATGTTACTTGAGTAAAAGTAAGTAAGTATAAAAAGCCAACTGTACTTAAAAACATCTTCCACAGACTGAAAAACTCATCTCTTTCGACTCCACTTCGAGCGATAGAATTACTAACAAAGCACTTATATACTAATAAAGGACTGGCTTATCTATAGCCAGTTGAGTAGCACTTGAAATGTTTGGCTCTATGAAACCTGATGTACTTTATGATGCTGTTTTCTTTTAGTTTGTATCTTCTTGGTCGAACGCACTTATTGATAGTCGCTTTGGATAAAAGCGTCAGCTAAATGCAATGTAATGTAATGTTAAAATAATGACACAGAAAAGTTTAAATTTAAAGAAAAAACACCCAAAAATAATTAGATCACATTTTGCGTAAATGTCCAATTAAGTTTCTTCATTATCTAGTTTTTCAGATCGTCCATCTGTTCATATTTATAACAACACATTATATATATTAAATAATAATGCATCTGAATTATTAACTTACTATACATTTAGTGGAGTAAGATTGATGATTCCTTTGAATTGTAGTTGAGTTAAATCATACAGTGGCATGACAAGAAAATACTCAAGTAAAGTACCCTTACCTCAAATTTGCACTTAAGTTTGATTAAATGTATTCAGTAACATTCTACCACTGCCTTTTACTGAACTCTATCAAGTGGTTTTGTTGCTTTTTACGGTCGTTTTATCTGCAACGTTATTAACGTGTTAAAAACTGTGAATAAATCGGACTAAATATGAGGTTCGTTTTTAGGACATCTCTTGCAAACGGTTATTTTGAGATTGAACTTTTGAGATTTAACACTTTTAGCAAAGTACATGAAGCAGTTTCTCAAAACACAACTCTTTAAGTCGGCCCTTTAACAACAGTCAGGTGCCTGTTTAAATATGTGAACAATCTTTCACTGTCCATATCACTCCTTTTGTTCATTTAGGCCATTTCTCATACAATGTAAGTGATAGGGGACCAAATGCACTCCTTTGTTCTGAACTGTATTCCAAAGTTTGACTGAATAATATAAGGTTCAAGCATCTGAGTTAGTCAAATCAACTTGGTATCCTTTCCTGTCTTTTACCTTTTACTCTCATGAAAAAGAAGATCCATCTGCATTTACCATACTGTATACTGTCCTAGTTGAAAAGTGACACAATATCTGTACTAAGGAGACTGTAACTTTGAAAGGTACCACTCTTCATCTGGAAAGTTAATATGATTAATTTGTGTTGTTTAGACTCAGCAGGACGTCGGCGCTTTCAGCACTTGGCTTGTTGTTTGGGGATTCTCTGTGTCATTCTGCTGGGTGGCATCATCGGAGTCTGCGTCTACCGTAAGTGCACAAAACAGGAAGTGCATTATCTCACACTTAGACATGAGACAATCTGTAAAGAATAGTAGCAGCTGTTTTATCTGTTACACCATTTGATATCAGTCATGTACATGCCAAACGACAATGAAAGTCTATCTAATGTCAATCTATTAACACATGTCATGTGTCTTTCATGTTACTGAGCCTCTGTGAAGTTCTGAGTTCATCCCACTCTCTCTACCCACCAGCGCTTGCTATTTCACAAATGTGTGGCTTGAAGACTTCCCCATTCCACTCCTCTCTTAGTAATGTTGACTTCAAACCACAGTGACAAGCAGTTTCAGGCAATGTGAAATATCAATGGGTCTGAGGATTGGAGAAGTCAGAACACTTTGAGACTGACTGAGACATTTTTAGTTTGAGTCTAAAGACCGGAAAACTTAACGTGAGACTGACAGGAAAAAGCTTCCAAAAGAGGCAAATTGACAAAAAACTAAATTGCAATATAACCTTGATTATAAAAGAAGCTAATTTCTCATTTTGCAGTTACATTAATTCATGAGAGTGATCCAAACCGGTTTAAAGAAAACTCATCTCTTCTGGCAAACAACACAAAACTCAACTTTAGAAAATGCAAACTTGACGAGGAACAACAAGAATCTGGAGGACCAGTTGGGCAACCTGACACAAGCTTATAATGTCTCAGAGAGCAACAACAAAAACCTGTCTGCAGGAGTCCAGGAGCTGAACTCACGAAACCAGGAGCTGGAGAAAAAGAATAACATCCTAACACAGAAAATACAAGACATGACAACAAACTGGAATGAGCTCAACATCAGTCGAGCTCAGTGGAGCATCGATTCCTACTGCTTAGGAAACACCGGTATGTTCAGATCCTCTATATTAGGTCATCATTACAATATGTTCAAAAGGCAGGGATGTTGACAGACAACCTGACAGTAAGTTCTGAACCCATTATTAAGGTACAATAATAATAATAATAATAATAACAATAACATTAATATAACAATGCAGTGATGTTGCTGATTGTATGGACTCTGTTGTTTCAGATGATAAGTGTAAACCTTGTCAGAAGGGCTGGTCACTCACTGAGCCCAGCTGCTATGCGTATATTAACGCTCAGTATCCTCATCAAAAAACCTGGGAAGAAGCTCAAGAAGACTGCAGAGGAAGGAATTCAGATCTGGCTGTTGCACATGATTCAGAGGAAAAGGTAAACCCATTAATATGACGCACTTAGAAAGTAATTGTGTTTTGTGTAGGTTTGAACACACTTTGGGTCTTTAGGTCATTATGTGTTTATTACAGTTTAATGTTTAAATATCTGACAACTCTCTCTCTGTCTTCCAGGAAGCAATCAATACTAACAGCTTTGGATCTAATGGATTCTGGATTGGTCTGAGAGTTGTAAATAAGAAATGGAAGTGGGTGGATGGAAGTGATCTGACTGAAAGGTAAGAGACACATTACTAAACACTTTGAATACTAAAATCTATCAGCCTTTATCTAAACATCATGTTCTCTCCTCAGCTCCTGGATAGTTCCTCCTGTTGACGGTGGCTGTGCATTGTTTTACAAGGGCAGAGACAAATGGTCATCAGTGAGCTGTGGTGCAACACATGAATGGATCTGCCAGCAGAAGGCTCTCTCTGTTTAAACAAAGCAGTCATACTAAGAAAAAATATAAAAACATATACATGTATTTTTTTATATAAAAATAAAACAGGTTAAAAAACAGTAATTCCAGAAACGTTTCTCAAACTCGATAAAAACAATAAAACACAAAAGTTAACTCATAATGTGGATTATTTTAAAATCGATGTACTTTCAGTTTGACTTAATTTCTATGGAGCTTGCTAAATTAATGCAAATATGTATTTCTTTAACATGTGATGGTGTTTTTATTAGATATGGATGGTTAAAATAGTTAAACTGTTTAGTGTGAATAATGTTATTCTATTGTGTTAGAGATGCAACGCTTCAACTCTGCAGATTATTGCAAAGACTATGGACCATTTTATTGTATTGCTTCTACCGGCCAGCAGAGGGCGCTGCATCACTTGATCTCAATACAAAGTTCCAGAGTCTGTTGAATAACTGTTTCAAGATTCAAAGGTTTATCGTCATGACATTTAGAAACTACGGTGTAATTATGTAATGTATAAAAACATGTGATCTCAGGTTCCTTAACAGTGCAATTAACAAGACATAAGAAATACATATAAAAAACAACAATACAAATAGAAATAGTGCAAGCTCAGGTGTTTAATAGTCTGATGGCCAGTGGGATGAAACTGTCCCTGATGCTATTCTGATGACGCACAGTTTATGGATGATTTGTATCTATCTGTATTTGTGTCTATGAGCAATGTCTTGTTTCACTCTGTTGTCACCAGTGAATAAATGTGCTGCCACACATTGTTGTTTTTGTGTTTCTCTTGAAAACATCAGTGCTTTAATCAAGTCTGGAGAAACAATCTTATTCATGGTCAATCAATCAATCAATGTTTATTTATATAGCCCAATATCACAAATGTTACATTTGTCTCAGTGGACTTTACAGTTTGTACAAAATATCAGTATGACAATACGACACCCTCTGTCCTTAGACCCTCACATCGTACAAGGAAAAACTTCCGAAGAAAACCCACAGTTTAAAGGGAAAAATGGGAGAAACCTCAGGGAGAGAAAAGAGGAGGGATCCCTCTCCCAGGACGGACAGACGTGCAATAGATGCCGTGTGTAAATTGAAAAGATAATACATTTGCAACATAGGTAGTCCAAATGTTTGGAAATGCATGTGTGTATAATAGGAAGATGAATCCACGAGGATATCCATCCAGGACCTATGATCCAGGACCACAGCCACGACTCAAGATCCAGGGCTCGCGATCCAGGACCGAGGAGCGCAGGATCATCCATGACTCCGGATCCCGGCGTATATAGACACCAAAAAGAAATAAATTTGGGGAAGCTGGGTTAATGGGAACATGAGAGTACACAGGTATAGACAGAGAGAAGGAAGAAGTAAGGTGTCCCCCGACAAACTAAGCCTATATCAGCAAAACTAGGGGCTGAATCTAATCAGCCCTAACTATAAGCTTTATCAAAAAGGAAGGTCTTCAGCGCACTCTTAAAAACGGATAGGGTGTCTGCCGCCCGAACACAAACTGGAAGCTGATTCCACAAATGTGGAGCTTGATAAGAAAAGGCTCTGGCTCCCATTGTGCTTTTAGAGACTCTAGGAACAACCAACAACCCTGCATTCTTGGAACGCAATGCCCTAATAGGACAGTAGGGTATAATGAGTTATTTAAGGTAAGATGGCGCCTGCCCATTAAGGGCTTTGTAGGCGAGAAGAAGAATTTTAAATTATATCCTGTGTTCTATAGGGAGCCAGTGTAAGGCAGCCAGAACAGGAGTAATGTGGTCCCTTTTCCTAACTCTGGTTAGTACACGAGCTGCAGCATTTTTAATCAGCTGAAGCGACTTGACTGACTTCTTGGTACACCCTGATAATAAAGAATTACAATAATCCAGCCTTGAAGTAACAAATGCATGGACTAGTTTCTCTGCATCGTTTTGAGGCAACATATGCCTGATTTTTGCAATGTTACGTAGATTTAAGTAGGCGGTCCTTGAAATTGATTTTATGTGGGCGTTAAAGGATAAATCCTGATCAAATATAACACCAAGATTCCTTACAGTCTCACTGGAGGCCAAATTAATGCCATCCATAGTTAGTATATCCTTAGATAATTTGTTTCGTAGATTCTTCGGGCCAAGTACAATAACTTCAGTTTTGGTAGTGTTTAACATCAAAAAGTTCAAGGTCATCCACGTTTTTAAGTCCTTAAGGCAGTCTTGAATTTTATTTAGATGATTAATTTCATCAGGCTTGATTGATAAATATAGTTGAGTATCATCCGCATAACAATGAAAATGTACAGAATGATTCCTTATAATATTGCCTAACGGAAGCATATATAATGTGAACAAAATAGGTCCGAGCACTGAGCCCTGTGGCACTCCATGGCTAACTTTGGTTTGCGTGGAAGATTCATCATTGACACGTACAAACTGAGAGCGTTCAGATAGATAGGACCTAAACCAGTCTAAAGCAGTTCCCTGTATGCCAACTAAGTGCTCTAGTCTTTGCAATAGGATATCATGGTCGATAGTATCAAATGCAGCACTGAGATCGAGCAAAACAAGAATAGAGACAAGTCCCTTGTCAGAAGCTATTAGAATGTCATTTGTGACTTTAACCAGAGCTGTCTCTGTGCTATGATGTGTTCTAAAGCCAGACTGAAAATCTTCAAATAAATCATTGTTTTTTAAGTAATCACACAACTGTTTTGCGACCGCTTTCTCAAGAATTTTTGAGAGGAACGGAAGATTAGAAATAGGTCTATAGTTGGCTAAAACCTCTGGATCGAGGTTGTGCTTTTTAAGAAGCGGTTTTATCACTGCTACTTTGAATGATTGTGGAACATAGCCTGATAATAAAGACATATTCATAATGTTTAATAAATAAGTGCTAATTAATGGAAAAACTTCCTTCAACAGCTTAGTTGGAATTGGGTCTAACATACACGTTAATGGTTTAGAAGAGAGAATCATTGAATTTAATTGTTCAAGGTTTATGGCTGAAAAGCATTCTAGTTTACTATCTAGTGTAATATTAGAACTTTTGACCATTGTAGCCAAGTCTGTAGGTCTCTACAGACTTGTAATAGTCAGGAGAAACAATCTTATTCACGATGATGTAACATGTTTTAAAATTAACCAAAAGTAAATCAATATTTAGTCTCTAGCAGAGTTCCAGAGAGGGACAGGAAGATGCATTGAGAGCATTTTGGTGACTAAACATACGTTTTTGGGGCCTAGAAATCCATGGAGATCCAAATTGCAGTTAATATGATTATTTATTAGGAAATCCAATATGTTGGATGTGTGACTCTATTAAAACCCGGTGAAAGGGTTTTAATAGAAACTTGAACGTTTTCAAGTTCCGGTTGAAACTATTTGGGAAGTATCAACATGACATGAGAACAGGAGATTAAAAAGATGCCATCTCCACCTCGAAGCAGAAGTCTACTGAACCGTCACATCAGAGAGACGCTCTCATCAGGACTGCAGCAGGACTTTGTTCAGGACCAAAGGAAACATAATCGAGGATATGGGTAATTAAAGAATATTCCAGAGTTTATGTGTGTGTGTGTGTGTGTGTGTGTGTGTGTGTGTGTGTGTGTGTGTGTGTGTGTGTGTGTGTGTGGTGTGTGTGTGTGTGTGTGTGTGTGTGTGTGTGTGTGTGTGTGTGTGTGTGTGTGTGTGTGTGTGTGTGTGTGTGTGTGTGTGTGTGTGTGTGTGTGTGTGTGTGTGTGTGTGTAAGATATAACCTATGATGTGCTTTTCTTTGCCTTTACCAACATGTTTTCCTTGTATGAACATAAATGCGTAAATTGCTTCTGAGGCTTGACCACTCCCTAGCAGCACATTATTTTAAATATCATTTAGGGAGGCGTGTGGCGCAGTGGATAGAGCCTTGGTGTTGGTCACACAGGTTCAAACCCCACTGCAGTTAGCATGTCGTTGTGTCCCTGAGACACATTACATTACATTTCATTACATTGCATTTAGCTGACGCTTTTATCCAAAGCGACTTACAATAAGTACATTCGACCAGGAAGACACAACCTTGAAGAAAACAGAATCATATAAGTACATCAGGTTTCATAGAGCCAAACATTTCAAGTGCTACTCAACTGGCTATAGATAAGCCAGTCCTTTATTAGTATATAAGTGCTTTGTTAGTAATTCTATCGCTCGAAGTAGAGTCGAAAGAGATGAGTTTTCAGTCTGGAAGGTGTGTAAGCTTTCTGCTGTCCTGATGTCAATGGGGAGCTCATTCCACCATTTAGGAGCCAGGATAGCAAACCCACGTGTTTTTGCTGATGGGAACTTGGGTCCCCCTCGCAGCGAGGGTGCAGCGAGTCGTTTGGTTGATGCAGAGCGGAGTGCACGTGCTGGGGTGTACGGTTTAACCATGTCCTGGATGTAGGAAGGGCCAGATCCATTCGCAGCATGGTACGCAAGAACCAGTGTCTTGAAGTGGATTCTAGCAGTTACTGGAAGCCAGTGAAGTGAGACACTTCACCCCAAATTGCTCCTGTGGGGATTGCCCACAGTATTGAGAATGTGAGTCGCTTTGGATAAAAGCTTCTAACAAGTGACATGTAATGTAATGATAAACTGCATAGACTATCTACCTATCTATCTATCTCATAACATGTTGATTTGAGTATTGTATTTAAATACCTGATGACTGTACCTCTGTTGTCAGAACATCATCAATAGTTACAGTATATCAACTGTTGGATTCTGGATTGGCCTGAGAGTAGAAAACAGGAAGTGGGCAGATGGAAGTGATCTGACTAAGAGGCATGTTACTAAACACTTTGAATCATAAAAATCGTTTAGCCTTTATCTAAACTTCCTGTTCTTCCCTCAGCTCCTGGATAGACCCACCTACTGAGGGTCACTGTGCACTCTCTGTCTGGCGCAGTAGCAGAACACCATGGTTATCAGTGACCTGTGACCAGAAACAACAATGGATCTGCCAGAAGAAAGCTCTATATGTTTAAACACTGCTGTCATACTACATATGCTTTTATTTTACTTTTCAGAGATGCAGTAACCTCATTTATCATATCAGTATATAGCGATCATTTGATATAAAAGGACCAAAACTTGCTCAGTTTAGTTTGTCTGACATTTTTTTAAATGCTGCTTTATGTGGGCCAATATCTTTGGTTTTAACATAATTAGCTCAGAGCTGTTTTCTTAAGCATTTGTATTGTGATGTCATACATTTTAATATGTAGAGATGAGAGTTATGTGTGTGATTTATCTAGAAGCTAATTCATGTTTGAGTCTATGATGTTAAATACAATTGCTGTCACACAGTGTTGTAGTTATTTCCTCACAAATCAGTAACACTCTAAGGCAATATGATATTTGATAACACTTTATATTAAGGTACACAAATTCACCATCAACTACTTGTTAATTAACATGAATATTAGCAGTTTATTGGCTCTTTATTAGTCATTATAAAACACTTATTAATGCCTTATTCTACAAGTAATAGGCCATTAGTTGAGAGTTGCTCCTCCATAACGCTCTAATTCAGGGGTGCCCACACTTTTTCAGCTTGGGAGCTACTTTTAAAATGACCAAGTCCAAATGATCTACCTACAGTCTGTGTTGCAGGGGGGGGGGGGCAGGGGGTGCTAGAGGAATAGCGCTTCAGATGAGGAGGTGAGGCCCCCTCATAACTGCATGAACCCGTATGGCTAAATACAACTCAGTACATTTTTGGTAATTTGTATACCCTTTCTTTAGTCGAATTGTAT